TCTAGGGATACTCAGATGTATAGTTGGGTGTCATCAGCGTAGCTATGAGGCTAAAAAGAAGGGCACCTAAAAACAACCTTGATGGACCCTACAGGTTGTGTCTGATTTCTCTGAGGAGAAGTCGCCAAGAGAGACAAAGAACTCCCAGCCAGCCAGGTACCTATTTACCTGTTCTGAAACAACTTTTTCTAAAATCTTCCCTAAGAATGGGAGATTTGAAATGGGTCAGTAGTTGCTTAAAACTGTAATGTTTTTGAGAATTGGTCTAACCATGCAAGTCTTTAAAGCAGCAAGGAAGGGGCCTTTGGATAAAGAGTGGTTAAAGCAGCTGTGCGGATCTTTACGTTTTCGTTGATTATAGCGCCCCCTTTGGTCGAAGTGGTATGACACCCACAGCCTGGTATCATAAAATTCCGACTGCAGCCGGCATTCAGCTTCATTTGTAAAATCTCGACTGCAACCGGCAATTACCGCATGCATTTGTTTTGACATCGAAAGTACAACCAAGTCCTTATAGACACATCTGGTAAAACTGTGACGTGCTCAGCAATGCCCGTTGCATATCGCTTACTCGAAGAACACTCTCTGTAAACACGGCTCTTCTTCTTCTCTCAATTTATTGGCGGATCACAAACAATTTCTAGGTGCATACCACCACCTACTGTACAAGAGTGTTCAGTGTGTCCGAAATCATTCACTACTCCCTACTACATGTCATTTAGCCTGTTTCTTAAATCCTACTCGTAATATGCACAAGGGATACGAACTAGGGAGAGTTTTATAAATGGTAAAAAGTTCCGCACAGCTGCTTTAACAATGCTTAATAAATCCTCTGACAGACAGTTAAAAACAGGTTTAAAGTATGGGGTCAAGGGAGCACAAATAAGGTTTTAACTCAGAGACCAGTTTTCTTTTTCTTGTCTTAAGAGTATTTTTGGGGCTTTTTGCTTCTAATTGATAGGACAGTACTTAGTGTGAGGGCGCAAAGGGCTTGAGGCTGGAATGGAACCCATGGCAGCTACAGTAATGACAGAGACCCCTTTTCAAATCACTTCTATATTCACCAGACTGAATACTCCCAAACCTTATACTTTTTAACGCTGGTCATGTGCAAGTGCCACTGGGTTCCAATTGACGTCACTTCTTCATACAAAAAATCCCATCACTGAGTTATGATATGACTCATACTCAATTTCTGCATGGAAATATGAAGAAATTGTAGAGGACTGATGTAAACTTATGTATTTATTCCAATTTTGCAGTATCAAAAAATGTTCCAATAACAAGTTGTTTTCAGTTAGTTTTTTAACTATGCTTTAATGCATTATAGCATGCATTACATTTACAATGTTAATTGGTGAAATTAATTTGCTTTTTATTATGCTGTATCAAATGGCTTCATGTCAATACATTTTCAAGGCACATATTTTAATATTGACTCATGAATGCCTAATAATTTATGGACTTTGTTCACATTAGTAGTGACATTTGTAGATTTTGCAACATTGTCGCAAAATCTTCTAAAAAATATTATTTTCTTGATTAGAGGCATGTTACAACAGTTTTTAAAAACAGGGAAAAAAATCTACATCAATATCAATGCTTACATTTCAGAGGGTTAAAAATCTCTTGATGCCCGCTGTGCCATTGTTTTCCTATGGAAGCTGGTGTTAACGTTGATGTCGGGGTCGTCTTCGGCATTGCGCTGTGGGCCGAAAGTTCAATTTTGTTGAACTTAGACCCCTTTTGACGCTGACCTTTCCGTGTAGAGCCAATGATTTTACAGTAGAACCCAGGCGGGGGGTGGAGCAAAGATGGGGCGCGGAAAAATTTAAAGACCCGACTGCAAGATGGAGGAGGGATCAGCGTTGGGTCAAGCCAACGGCGAGCGCTGCAGCGTCAGCAAATCAGCAATCGTGTAAGCGCCTTTATGATTTTGCAACATTGGAACAAAGCCCACCAAATCATGTTCTTTTCTTTCTTTTTCTTTTCCTTAAGTAAGACACGACAGTTGAGACCATAGTCTTAAAAGGGTAACCAGCTTTGTATCATAACAATCTGAGTATTATGTGTAAATGAACTACAGTAAGCTTCCCTCGATGGAACCAGTGCTGAGATCTCCCTGCTCCACTCCTAGTTTTGCTGGCTCTGGGGCTGTTGCTTGAACTTCAGGCTGTACTTACATAATTTTGTATTGCCTGTCACCCATGCCGCCACCACGGAAAAAAGTGTTGTGTCTCAAATCAGATACTGAGTACACTCACAAGCAGCACACTGCATTCACTATGTACTTACTTGTGTAGTGTGCAAATTTTAAAAGGTAGTGTTGTCTCAAATCAAACACAGCTGTTGTGCACTTAACATAAATGATTTGACAGCATTCCTTCTTCTCACATATTGTGGAGTATTATCACCAAAATCTGACAACAACTGTCACTCACCAAAATAGGCTATATGTTTTCTATATCTGCTTGTTTGCTCACTTGTCGTCTGTATTTATTTTTTAATGTATTTATTGTAATAAAGTGTACGTGCTTTCATGGCACATTATGAATGTCGTGGCTGATACCGGCTGGCTCTATCACTAGCTGAACTACTGAGTTAATGGTAGTGCTGCATTTTGCAATAATTCACAACTTGTCAAGCATCTGTCCACAAATCTAATACAAAAAAATCGTCTACAGTGAAGACAACAATTTAACATACCTCAATACCAAACATAACGTAAGTTATGCTCCTAGACTGTTTAGTTTACACCACAACATGGCTTGCTAGCTAATGTTAGTTTAGTTTAGTTTAATTGTTTGCATTATTGTTTGCTGTACCAAAGTATTACAGAACCAACCCAACAAACCTGATGGCTGGGGTTCCCAGTAGCTCAGTGGGTAGAGCGGGAGTACAGAGGCAATGTCCTTGCCGCAGCAGCCATGGGTTTGATTTTAGCCCTTTGCTGAATGTCATCCCCCCTTCACACTTAATACTGTCCTATTGATTAAAGGCAAAGGCCCAAGAAATCATTTAGTGGTAGTGAAAAATACACATGTCTATTTGTTCAATGTCTCTGTGTTCACTGTGGTAGTTGGCTGACATTTCATATATTTGAAATGTGTTTGTGGTCCCCTTTCTGCTATGTAGTGTCCAACATTGCAAACTCAACTTTTTGACTGTTATGAGTAAACCATCCAGGTACTTTACAGCGCACTGCATTTTGCCATATTTTTATAGATTTATGATATTGTCTAGATACCAGATGCAGAGATGGTGTCTATTCATTCCAATGCAGTTTCATCTGGTGCATATAAAAAGTTTCTAGCTTCCAGGTTTACCTCTGTGGAATGCAGCACACTGAATATGCAGCAGTGTTTCTCCCGCTGGCCTCACCTGCAAGTTCCACAAAAACTAGAGCATGTAGGCAGGCTTTTCAAGCATGGGAATACTTGTTCAAAATTGCCAATAACCTCCTTTTCCATTCTTTCGCGTACACTGATGTCACGTTCTACTTGTGCATTATCCACCATTGTGTTGGTGGTGCAAACAATTGGTGGCTATTGGTGTTAAGATCGCCAAGATCGATTGCTAATCACTGTGGAATATTGCTATTTTCTTCAGTGACAGTCCATAACTATGAAATGGTGTAGTGCAGGACCTGCTGAACCCTTGTTTCATGAAAAATGAAGATGGGGCTCCAAATTTTCATTTTTCATTTTTTTGAGACAGTTGTGCTAAAAATGATCTGCTAAATGATCCCCTTTTAGGGCAAACAATCATAAGTGAGGAAAAATAGGAGCATGTTATGGTTTGGCACAGTTTATAATACATTGAAATTCACTTAACTTGTGTAAAACAGGCCTAACTATAACATAGTCTTAATGTTTTGCACAATCTACATTTATAGGTCAGTTGAATCATTTTATTGCTCCATGCTTTCTATTTCTTTGGTTTTAAAACAAAGCTTCTAACAAACAGAGAGATCACTTATGGCACTTAACACAATGATGATTTTTAGCTGCAATGTGCAAAGTTTATTTTATCTACGCAGTGATAGCTGACAGTGTGGCTGATTCCATCACTGCAGCTTAGAATAACATGAGGAATCTTTGTGATGATAACTGTAAATAAAAATGAAAGAAAAAATAACACTTGGCTCCCGTGATTATAAATGCAGCATTTCAGTTAGATAAAGTCAGCAGAAACAGTCTTGCATTACTCTATGTGTTTTTAAGTGACATAGTAGTTCCTTAACTGAATAACTTTCCCTGTAGAGCAGGCATCAGGAGTGTCTATATGGTAATCATAAATGTTTCTGAATTCAACTGGCCAATGATCAACATCACCAGGCAATCTGTACTGACAATTCTTCAGTCCACAAAGCCTCAACTTCTGTTTATAGCAAGCTACAGCACGCGGCCACCAGAAAATACAGTCACTCTCCGCCCAGGCAGCGCTTTAACACTGTTCCAAATTAGTCTGCACTGACTTTGAAAGAGACACAGAATAAGTAAGAGATATATAAAGAAGTTACTACCGTGACATTTCCACTTGCCTCCATGCTGCTTTCTACTGTTTACTAACCTCTTTTCCAGCCTGTCGGTGACATTAAACTTGACACACTAGTAAAAAAACACACACACACACACACACACACAGAAAGGCATACGGTCTACTGGCAAGGGGAAAGAAGTCTATCGCCTATTTTTAGTAGGTTTTCCCATGTTTCTGTGATTTTTATAATAGATGGGACAAAACATTCCAGTGTTTCGTTGCTTAAAATAAAGAGAAGAATAATATTTCCACTTGACAATGCTACAACCAAAGAAAAGTCAGCAAGTTCTTGAGCAAAATAAAATCCCTGGAAGTTTCTGGCAGCCGACCTTTCACCTTTGACTATCCAATAACAATCATGACCCACACATTTAAAACATTGCAGTCCAATGCCAGCAATTCTCTTTTGAATATCTTGTTGTTGGAGGTAAAAACATCCTCTGATTTCCCAGGAACCAATGATGACGGCAGTTACAGAGCTGCTGTTGGAAACACTGGATGATCTGGGAAAGGATGAGCTAAAGATCTTTAAGTGGTTCCTGCAGCAGGCTGAAATCCTGGAGGATTTCCCTGCCATCCCAAGGAGCCGTCTGGAAAAGGCTGACAAGCTGGACACACTGGACCTGATTGTGCAGACCTACAATGAACAGTCTGTGGAGGTGACCAAGAAAGTGTTGACAAAGATCAACAGGAATGACCTGGTGCAAAATTTGTCCAATGTCAGCTTGAGGCCCAAACGTAAGTCATCAATGATATGATGACTCATCATATCTGTAATGTGACAAAAATGAAGTCCTGGTTTGTATGAACTGAATCTCTTATGTCTCTCAGAAATTGTGCATGATGTTGGAGGAATTTTGGAGAGCAGCGGTGCACCTTCTGCCTCTCTTCCTTCCCCTCATACCAACAGCAGTCAGACTGAAGGTAAAGTTTCTCTCAGTTTCCCTCTCTGGCTGTCCTTTTCATCAACCTGCTTGTTTTGTTGATCTCAAAGCCATATAAGTTTAATTAAACCCTTTGTTTTACTTTATATCATCCACCCTAGAAACATTGATTTAATTTGGAGTTGTAGCGGCTCTGTGGCAACATTTTACCACAGTAATTGTAATGTTTGCATGCCACAAGTTAAGAGTCGTAAGTGTATGATTGTTGAGTTGGGATGCACTGAATAACTTGAGTGGACATTATAAAAATATTTCCATGAAAAAGTTAAAGTTAACAAATGAAAACAACCTATCGTTAACTACAAAGCACTCACTGAGTGTATCCTCACATCGGCTGCACAATTTTCAATTTGTCATTTTAATGCAAGACAGTGTTTAGATTTTTTTAACTTGCATCTGAATCTGGATCTACACATGTTTAAAGCCACAGTGTGCAGGAATTTCTCCCATCTAACGTTGAAATCATATATTGTATTCAAACAGATGCACACTGTTTCAAACACATATTGCAACAACTGTAGCCACTGTGTACCAAAAAGCTATGATAACACTGATGAAACCATGTCATCCGATACTACATGGAGTATTCATTCAGGCTCCTACACAGACACACGTTACTTGAGTTGACAAACCCCCTCCTCACCATGCTGGCTGTGTTTACAACGTAGGACTGTTGGGGCGGATGTAAATTAAAACAAACCAATCACGTCTTGTCCTTTGACAACTGACAAGTGGCTCAACCTCACACACCTCATCCCTCTCTTCGCATTACTGCGCCGCTAACAGCTGTTAGTGGCCAGCTGCACTACTGCCTCATAACAAAGTCCCACTCTTTGAGCATAATGCAGGATCATGTATTATGCAGCATCACGGGAGACGGAATCCTCGTCGCCAAGAAAGTGCAAAAGGGAATCAAAAAGGCAGCGTGACCAGCGAATTAAAAAAACAAGGGTCAGCACTGATGTTGCCTTTCCCAGGTGGAGAGAGAGATGCTGAAGGAGAAAGGTAATACAATCACAGGCCAGCGGCTAACAGCGGCTAACAGCTAACAGCGGCACAGTGATGCGAGGAGAGGGATGAGGCTGTTAGCGACTGGCCGCTAACAGCGCCTAACAGCGGCTAACAGCCAACAGCAGCGCTGGCCTGTGATTGCATTACCATTCTCCCTCAGCAGCTCTCTCTACCTGGGAAAGGCTACCCCGATGTGGGCCTTCATTTTTTTAATTCGCCGGTCACGCTGCCTTTTCTATTCCCTTTTGCGTTTTCTTGGCGACAAGGATTCTGTCTCCCATGATGCTGCATATGCATGATCCTGCATTATGCTCAAAGAGTGGGACTTTCAAATTTGCCAGGGTAGTAGCGAAGCGCCTCTTGCTCCTCTCCTTCGGCTCCTCAGTCACGCAGTGCTGGCCTGGCTCTCAACGACAACGCCGAAGGCGGTGCTGTATGTCCCTTGCTGGCGGGTGTATTCTCAAGATGGCGAAACGTAATGGAACCCCACAGACGACTTACCCGCACAATGTACAAACAAATCCGAAATTCTCCTTTTACGAGAATAAGTCAGATTATTGGTGGAGGTAATAGTACACCAGTGATGACATATTTATGAATGCAGACATCAATTTTTGCCAATAAACAACTGAAAATGTTACACAATGTCCCTTTAAGTTAAAGACATTAACAATTCTGGAAATATACTCTTTATCTTTCCAAGAGTTGGATGAGAAGGTCAAGGCCACTCTCATGTCTTTGTGTTAAATAGGGAGCTAGAGAGAGATGTGATTAGATTGGTACAGCGAAAATGGTAGGTGTATTTTTGAACTTGGGCCAAAACTAAGTAAGCTGCTACCCCCTGCTTGTAGTCTTTATGCTAAGCTAGGCTATTTGCCTCCAGGCTCTTGCCCCATGCTTAATTCAAAGACATGAGATTAGTATCAGTCTTGTCATGTCACTTTGTTAAAGCGAGCAAATAAGTGTTTTTTTCTTCCCAAACTGTTGTACCATTCCTTCAAGAAAGTACAACACTTATCAAATGGCAGAAAGGTTAATTGTACGAAATACTTTAAAAAAAGCTGCAGCTGGTTCAGGATCTGCACCAATCCCAATATCCTGCTTACTGAGAAACAAGCAAACATGACTAAAAATTTCATGGACTTGGTGGGAGTAATTGTCCCCTCACTAAGCCCCACCCTTTATTGTAAGCCATTGCTACTTTGTCAACCTGTCAGAGCTAGCATGGAAGGATAATTCAGCAGTAAATTAGTGGCTGTGTGCATTAGCTGCTAATGCACTGCTGACTAATTGCTCACAACTTGCACCAATGGCTGACACTGCTACAGGGAGCGTGTTTTTGCTGGGTAGCAACACATCCTGGCGCAGACTATTTACTGGAGTTTGGAGGGGTTTTTTTAGCCTTTACAAAACCAAAAACACAAGTGAAAGGAATGGATTAAGCTGTGTGTTGTTCTAGTGTGAGCTGCAAACATTAGCTTGTCTGGCACTAATTATATCTTATCTAAAGTAGACCTTGCATTATTTCCAAAGGCAAAGGGCAACGCTAACTCCATTATTTTGTGGGGTTACATGTTAGAAAAATACCTGTCCACGACTGGAACATTCATCTTGTGGGAGCCAAGATGCTACTAAATCAAAGTTACATTAGCAGTCCTTTTTGATCCTTTGTTGCCTGTTACCCACCTACCTGGCCTACTGCCTAATTTAGACTCTTGCCTTTTGCCTGCTTCCAGCCTGATCAAGTCTGCCTTCCTTTGTTTGCCTGCCTGTATGTCTATTGATACTCTTGCTACGATAAACCACTGAATTCACACTGCTGCCTCAACTGTCTGCATTTGGGTCTTTCCCTTGTTGCCACTCTCCCTAACCCATGTGACAGAATCTGTTCACAGACTGTTAACTTTGTTTTTAACCCATGTTAATTTGATCTGCATAGATCTGCTGGAACCAGACCCTGACCCTTCAGAGCTCATTGCATTAAACAGATGCACACTCCAATCACACCTCCAGAACAGGTTTATGTGTGCACAAGAAGGGTGGACGGAAAGGATGGATAAAAAACACCTAGCTGATGTCTACATAGAGCTCTACATCACAAATGGGAGTGGTGTAAACATCAACAGGCAGCATGAGGTCAGGCATATTGAGATGGCATCAAGAGAACCAGGGGCAACAGAGCAACCAATCCAACCCAGTGATATCTTTACACACCCCTCTGGGAAAAACACACCTGTAAGAACAGTGCTGACCAGTGGGATTGCAGGAATTGGCAAAACGTTCCTTGTACACAAATTCATCCTGGACTGGGCTGAAGGAAGAGCCAATCAAGATGTGCATCTCACATTCCCCTTCACTTTCCGCCAGCTGAATTTACTCAAGGGCAGAAGGTTTCGTTTTGCTGAGCTCATTCACAAATGTATCAGGGAAACCAAAGACATCAGTGAGGAGGATCTTAATGACATTTTCGCTAAACTACAGGCTTCAGGAAACACCAACTATGACAAGAGTAAATTCAAACTTCTTTTTGTGCTTGATGGGCTGGATGAAAGCCGATTTCAATTCGACTTCACTGCTGACATAAATGCCACTATTGATGTGACACAGGCAGTTAGAGTAGATGCCCTGTTGACTAGCCTCATCAAGGGGGACCTGCTACCTTCTGCTCGCCTCTGGATAACCACACGACCAGCAGCAGCTAGCCAGATCCCTCTTGACTTCATTGACATAATGACAGAGGTGAGAGGGTTCACTGATGCACAGAAGGAAGAGTACTTCAGGAGGAGATTCAGAGATGAGGAGCTTTGTGGCAGAATCCTCTCCCACATCAAGACATCACGAAGCCTCCACATCATGTGCCACATCCCAGTCTTCTGCTGGATTACTGCTACAGTTCTGGAGGACATCTTGAAAATGAGTGACAAAGAAGAGCTGCCCAAAACCCTGACTGAGTTGTACATAGAATTCTTGTTGTTTCAGATCAGACAGACAAAAGAGAAGTATGGCACAGAGAAGAGCATTGAGTATATTCAGTTGCTAGCAAAACTTGCTTTTCTCCAACTGGAAAAGGGGAACCTGATCTTCTACGAAAAAGATCTCAAAGAGAGTGGCATTGACTTCAACGAAGCCTCAGTGTACTCAGGAGTGTTCACACAGATCTTTAAAAAGGAGCACCGCTGGAAGAAGGACAAAGAGGAGGATAAGATGTTCAGCTTTGTCCATCTTAGTATTCAAGAGTTCTTGGCTGCTGTTTATGTGGTACAGTCACTCATTAACAAAAACAAAAATGTAATGGTGCAACAACAGCTCAAGTTAAAAAGTGTCCAGATGCTTTTTAAGAAACCCTCTATGGCAGAGGTCCAAAGAATGGCTATTAACAAGGCCTTAAAGAGTCCAGATGGACATCTGGACTTGTTCCTCCGCTTCCTCCTTGGTCTCTCCCTAGAAACCAGCCAGATTAGCTTACAAGGCCTCCTGAAACAGACAATAAGCACGTCAAAGGACAATCAGAAAACAGTGCAGTACATCAAGGAAAAGATCCGTGAGAATCCGTCTCCAGAGAGATGCATTAACCTTTTCCACTGTCTGAATGAGCTCAATGATCATTCCCTAGTGGAGGAGATCCAGCAGTACTTGAGTTCAGGAAGTCTCTCCACAGCCAAAGTCTCTCCTGCTCAGTGGTCAGCTCTAGTCTTCATTTTGCTGTCATCAGGAAAAGACCTGGATGTGTTTGACCTCAGGAAGTACTCTGCTTCAGAGGAAGGTCTCCTGCGGCTGCTCCCCGTAGTCAAGAACTCGAATGTATTCTTGTAGGTGCATAGACATTATATCTAACTTTATGAAATGAGTGATTTTCCTAATTCATTTGATCACTTTTTAAGCCTGTAAAGTCTAAATGCAATAATAATATGCCATTACAGTACTGACTGAGTCACAGTTCATCTTGTCAGGTAATAGACCTTTTCACATCAGACATTTTGACTTTTCGTAGCAGGAAAAGTACAGGTTAAAAACATTTCATTAACAATGGCTCAGTTCCATCAGGTGTCTCAATAAGCTACCAGCTTTGTATAAAAACAATGTGGGTAGTATGTGCAAATGAACTGTGGTAAACTTCCCTCCATCTGACCAGTGACCTAGACCCTCCCTGCTCCCCCCGGAAAAAATGATGCAAAACTCATCATTTGGCGGAGTTTTGCGGGCTCTCCTGGGCTGTCGCTTGAACAACAGACTGTATTTCACATGTAAAGCAGCATATCAAGGAGCATTTATTGGTCCGGTGCAGCACAGTGCATTTTGGTAGTTGTAGGTTTTCTACCTCTTGAGCAAAAGCGATTGCCACAGCCCTGTTTCCTCTGTTTTCTCTGGTCACACAACTTGAATTTCAAAAGTACTGTGTCTTGCAACTGCATTGACAGCTTATTATGAAAAGACCATCTTTCCAGCTGTGAAATGCTTCCCTATTAACATTTGTAGTCTGATATGGCATACAAATTTGACCAATTTTTAGCAACAGTAACAAGCTAAGATGCTGTTAACTAGGAAGTACTCATTTAAGGACATTGGGACTTTATTATCATGTATCATGTTAATTATTATATTATCAGCATTTTGCACAGGGCAATTAGGTGTGACAGACTGTTCCTCAGATAAAAAGTGCATTCCTAGCTTTGAGTATGGAGCAAGGAAATTAGAGTTACAAAATAAACAGATCACAAGGCTTTTAGATGTGTTGCATTATTTGGCTTTATAATTTGGCTTTTGCGCAGCCTTGTTCAGGCATTGAAATAAACAGTTTTGAGCAGTTTTAGACTTTAACAGTAATCCCCTAACCCATAGCCGCCGCCCCCCCCCCCCCAAAAAAAAAAAAACAAAAAACTACTTACTGTTCAAAGACAATGCTTTGTTTATTTTATACATATCAGGTCCTACCAATCCTTAATAGCTCGGAGTAATTGAAAATCCATCCATCCATCCATCCATTCCCATTTCCACTTTTTAGCAATATCTGGGGCTGGGTCGTGGGGGCAGCAGGCTGAGCAAAGTACCCCAGACGTCCCTCTCTCCAGCGACGGTTTCCAGCTCCTCCTGGGGAATTCTGAGGCATTCCCAAGCCAGATGATATTCCCTCCAGCGTGTTTTTTATATATATATATATATATATATATATATATGTATACTTTATTAATCCCCCTGAGGGGGGGATTCAATTTTTTTTTCACTCTTTTTGTCATTAACACACAGGTCGGAAAGACACACACATGCACAAACAGGACCTTGGTCGGGTGCCCCTTGCTCAAGGGCACCTCGGCAGTGCCCAGGAGGTGAACTGACACCTCTCCTGGAGTGGGCAGAGCAAGCCCCTTGTCCATCTCCCTGTTCCAAAAATCAATTTAATATATGGTCCCCGGGTAGGGGATGTATCAGATATTAAACTGATAATAACAGATACTACACTTGATCTTAGCCAAAAGGCCGAGAAGCTGTTCTGGGTCTACCCCTGGGCCTCCTACCAATGAGTTGAACACATCTAACAGGAGGCACCATTGAGGAGCATACCAAACAACAGCTAACGTCTCAGGAGCGTATGACAGTGAACAAGCATGCACAGTCCCAGCTTTCATTTACACCTGTGCTCTTCCTGCTATGACATGACAAGATGTCTGCAGTGAAAAAGGTCTATCATTGTTTGTGGCTAACATTATGTTTCTCACTGATTCTTCTTTAGAGTAAGTGGCTGCAACCTCTCAGAGAGAAGCTGTGAAGCTCTGGTCTCAGTTCTCAGCTCCCAGTCCTCCAGTCTAAGGGAGCTGGACCTGAGTAACAACAACCTGCAGGATTCAGGAGTGGAGCTGCTTTCTTTGGGACTGGAGAGTCCACACTGTGTACTGGAAACTCTCAGGTCAGATCACCTCGATTTTATAATTGAATGAATGAATAACCATTTGTAATTTGTAATTCACTCATCTCTTTTGTGATGATGTCTTAGCATAATTTTACTAAAGTTAAAGATATATTATGTATGTAATTGTGTGTCTGCCCATATTGGTATAGCAGTTTGAAGCTAATCTTATTTTAAGCCAATTTTGTTTCTGATTCCTATTCAGACTGAGTGGCTGTAAGCTGTCCTGGAGAAGCTGTAAAGCTCTGGCTTCAGTTCTCAGCTCCCAGTTCTCCAGTCTGAGAGAGCTAGACCTGAGTAACAATGACCTGCAGGATTCAGGAGTGGAGCTGCTCTCAACCGGACTGATGAGTCCATGCTGTAAACTGGAAAGAGTCAGGTTAACATTCATGAAACTGCACATTTTAACAGTGAGCGTTGAATGAGTTTGGAAATATTAAAATATATTATAAGGCAAGACGGTAAAGGAGGAATGTAAGGTAGCTGATTTAAAGGTGATGAAATCTAGTTTCACATTAGGGCATCAATGTGAACTAATCAGTGTGATAATCCCATAGTCTTTGTATAATTATTTGGTGATCAGCATCTAGCAATACCAGCCAGAGGTGATAGCAGCAGGACATAAAGGCTAGGGAGGGTTTATAATTACATTTTCTACTGACAGTTCATTTTTATCTGACACAGTATAATTAGAGGAAAATGTGTTAAGACTGAACTGTACATTTTGGGATTCTCTCTCAGATTATGTATTGCTATGCATATGATAAAACAGGAGGGAAAAAAAAGACAAACTTTTGTGCTAGTTAAAAATGTTTTTTTGCCATGGTGGCATGGTATGTCACCTGAGCATAAGTTAGCTCGTCTCTGTGGCAGTTCACAAGAACTATCTGGGTACATTTTAGCTCACTATTTTGCAATCATCGACCAACAAGACACAAAGGTAACATTAACATAACATCAACCAACACTGTCTAAAGGTACAAGCAGTGAAGCTTGGTAAATTTTGTATCCCAACTTATTTAAGTGAGAATTATCAAATGGGTGTGCTAGAGTGCTTGGGGTAGAGTTAAGCGATCAGGACACTACAGCATGACTGAGCTTTTTATATGTATATGAACTATTTTGTTATGTTTTTCAGATTTTTCAAATTTGTCTTTTTTGTTCAAATTTCTTTAGGTTGAATGTGTGTAAGCTGTCAGAGAGAAGCTGTGCAGCTCTGGCCTCAGATCTCAGGTCCCAGTCCTCCAGTCTGAGAGAACTGGACCTCAGTAACAATGACCTGCAGGATTCAGGAGTGAAGCTCCTTTCTACTGGACTAGAGAGTCCACACTGTGTACTGGAAACTCTCAGGTCAGGAATCCTCACTGACTGTTTGATTATTTAAATCTTGCTTTATATGAAGCTATATATCAGGGAATACACCTACAAAATGTTATACTCTCTTAGCTACATTCCGCATATTATCAAAATAGTTTTTATGTTTGTTGTCTCCAGTGTTGGGGTTGTCCGTGGTTTACCATTAATTGGTTAACCACCAAGAATGTTTTTGACTGGTTACTCATGTAGTTCTATAGGTTGATTTTGCCACTCTTTAGTTTACTGCACTGCGCACCATCCGGGTGTGGTGGGAGATAATTAGCCAGTGGTGCCATTCATTCAATGATTACTGCTAGTTACGCCGTCTGGACCCAAAAGCATTACTATGGTGACATTGTGCCTACTCTCCAGTCTCCCCCCCAGGTCGCCCCAGTGAGTAAACCCTCTTTAGCATTGTTTTTAGCTCTGTTAGTACCTTTAGCATTGTCAGTGCGGCAAGTGGTGCTAACATATTTAGTGCTAATGGAGTTTGTGGCGCTTAAGCTCACTGACTCAGTGCAGCACCCAAGTAAAGGGAAAGGCCTCCTGTATATGATGGCATTTGTTGGTATTCTACATCCAGATGACATTGGCATGAGACATCTTGACATTAAATTTTGCTTACTCAACAACACAATTTAAAACCAACAAAATGTCAGTGTCAGCTGTCGTCAGTATTCTACATCAACTGATGCTGGCATTAAATGTTGTCCATGACATTGTGGGTGACCCTATGTCACAGCCAAAATTCAGCCAAATATCAACCTCAAAGATGTTGGTGACCAGCTGGGTTGACTGTGGCCGTCTCTTGTGTGTGTAGACTGTCAGGCTGCCTGGTCACAGAGGACGGCTGTGTTTCTTTGGCCTCAGCTCTGAGCTCCAACCCATCCCATCTGAGAGAGCTGGACCTGAGCTATAATCATCCAGGAGACTCAGGAGTGCAGCTGTTGTCCGCTGGACTGGATGATCCACAGTGGAGACTGGAGACTCTCAGGTACAGCTTTTAAAAAACACATTTTTTCAGTCAGACTGATAAGCTGAGAAGTATTGTCTCATATTCAGCAAGCTTATGACTGATATTGCCTGTAAAAAGAAAATATGTTGTGTTTATTTCTCCAGTGTGGATCATATTGGAGCGTGCTGGTTGAAATCTGGTCTGAGGAAATGTAAGTGTGTATTCAGTTTGTCTTAAAAGGAAATGACAGAATCTTTTCATAGTAAGTCTTCTGCATTCGATAATGGATAGAAGTTTTGTGTGAATGCTACCCTATGATACCTTTGGGAAGCAGGGCTTGGATCTGTTAGGGCTGTTGTTTTTTATTTAAAGTTTGAATGTGGGGAAATAAAATGGAACATTTTATCAGTACCAGTGGGAATAAAACCTAATGCAGACATTAGCAGTAAAGAGAGTTGGCATTTAACAGAATGATACATGAAATAAACACCCATGTATAATGTTATAAATATAGCAATATATTATGTTGTAATGTTATAATTGGTATTTACACTATGTCAAATCAGATTCTATGGTGATTTTATAATTAAAATTTGTTGTGAGGTGGACAAAATATCACCTTTTAATCATATAATAATACCACTACATTTTTAAAGACTACTATATGAATCAACACACAAACAACATACATAACCCATAAACATTACTAATCAAGGTAGCTGGTAATTATTTCAGCTTCACTTACATTGTATTACTTTGTGCAGGTGTTTGTATTTTTTTATGTTTGACCTCTTTGTATACAAACTGCAAGCAGTGCGGCACCAACATGACTCATTTTCATAGCTGTTCTTCCTTCACTAAATCCTTTTGTAATCAAGTTCTGTAAGATCTGAGCTAATGACTCAAACAAAATATTTTGTTATTTGCAAATTAGAAATTCTGATGAAACCACACTGTTATCCTGCTAACTCCTACTGACCATCTCAGCTGCAAAATCTGTCTGTCTGTCTGTCTGTCTATACAGTACATCCATCCATGCATCCATTGTTTGTCTATCTATCTAACAGAAAAAAACAGTTTAGTCTCGACACCAAAGATGGAAAAATCATGGATAAAGATCAGGATGTTTAACACCTTTGCAATTGTTTCCTTTTCTCCCCATCAGATGCCTGTGAAGTCACCCTGGACCCAAACACAGCAAACAAATACCTCTCCTTGTCTGAGGACAACAGAACAGTGACACTGGTAAGAAAGATGCAGCCGTATCCTTACCACCCAGAGAGATTCCACCACTGGAAGCAGCTGCTGTGCACAAGTGGTCTGACTGGCCGCTGTTACTGGGAGGTGGAGAGAAAAGGGTGGGTGTCTGTGGGAGTGACTTACAGAGGAATTGGAAGGAGGGGGCAAGGTGCCGACTGCTGCATTGGTCTCAGTGACACATCTTGGAACTTGTGCTGCTCTCGGGACCGTTATTCTGCCTTCAACAATAACAGAATGACAGCCATAAGTACAACCAACTCTGTTTCTGACAGAGTAGCAGTGTATCTGGACTGGCCTGCTGGTACTCTGTCCTTCTACAGAGTCTCCTCTGACACTCTGATCCACCTCCACACATTCCACTGCACATTCACTGAACCCCTCTATCCTGCATTTGGGTTTGAGTATCTGATTAGGTTTGACTCCACAGTGTCTCTGTGTCAAGTGAGGGAGGGAGAGTTGCCTCCTGGAGACAAACACAACTGCTGAAACAAGATCACACACACTAAAGACTTATTTCTTTGGATTTTCATGTCACAATACAAAACACAATGTCAGTGTCCTAATGTACTCTGCATGGAGACAAATAAACAGTGGCTGTTCTCATGTACACACTTCTTCTTCTTCGTCTGTGGTGCCAACTCCAGCTTTCCTGTAACGACAGTTGTCACTCAAGATACAAGGAGCTCTGTGTGGGTGTGATCGCACTGAAAGGGACCAATCATGAGATGCCCTGTATCTCCCCTTGGATCCCACCCTAACTGTCATAAGTCATAAAAAGTGCAAAAGGAGAGTGGACATTGGTCAGGCCATCAAAAACATGACTCTACATACCCCTTTTACACCAACATGGAAATGGTTCTTTTGCAGCTCCCGCACCTAATTTTGAAATATTCAGAGCATTTTTTTCCTTGACCTAAAGGGTGAACTGGGACGACATTAGTAGGTGTGTCATATTCTACAGGTTGGAAAGAGAGGATGAGAAGGCACTAATCGAGAGACTGAGTGAGAAATCATCAGAAAAAAGAGTGTGCAGTGGTCTCATTAACAATTGGTCTTTTTGGAGGTAAAAATAAATAACATGTAATACCAGAACAAAGGTTTGAAGGTAATCAATGTAATCTGTGGTTTTGCCACTACTGTCACAGAGTTATACTGTTTACTTCTGTGGTGCATTGTGCAACGCACTTCTTTGATGACATTCTTCATTACACTGGCTCTACGCATAACTGGTGGAAGTGGGGGCTGGTTCGTTAGTTAGCACTGAGGTTAGAAAAAACAGTTCAAGAACCAGAGCTACACTGATGGAAAATAGTGTTGCTTAAAGATAAATAGATATCCAATACTAGACAAGAATATAATTTGAAATGTTTTTTTTAATATAAATGTATTTTTTTAGTATTAGGTAAACTATAATTATTTCATCTATCGTTCAGCTTTTAAAAGTTGAGAGAGATACAGTGAAGTAGCTGTGGATAAATATATTATAAAACTAATAACTAGGGTCCAAAAAACTTGCACCTTCTATGTAGTTTTAGTGCTCTATACAAATATCAGCCCCTTGTGCTGACATCTACAACGAAAAAAGACAATAGTCACAAGTATCAGGACTGAACAACATTTTATTCTGTACTTTTCCAGAACGTCTGTACATTACCAACATTTTGTAGACCTGGAAAATGATCACTTGAGTCAGTGATCCAGTCTTTATAGAGCCACTGAAGAACCCTGCTTTAAGCACAACACAACACAACCAAACAAGGATATGATCTCTTCACTTCCATTTCAGGAAGTGCTGCAATCAACATTTTGGCAATCACATATAATCTGCGAGGAGCTGATTCTCATATAACCATTCTATAACATAATAAAAAGGAATGCCCTATATTAGTAATCCCATTTGAATCTTAAGCAACCTAAGTTCTGCTCCTCTCTCCGTCAACATGGCTGTAGAGACACTGGAGGACAATGGAAGGCAGAAAGGAAATGCAACAAGCCCTAAAGTCATTCATTAGTCTGACCTCTTGTCTCACCATGATGACAAGTTTCTTGAAAAGAGTATAAGATGGGTGGTATGGCGAAATTTAAGAGTCTGTATTTGGGTTTAAAGAAGTAGTACATTTTTGGCAATGTACTTATTTCCTTTGTGGCGGAGCGTTTAATGTAGAGATTGATACTGTACTTGCGTATCAGGTAAATATGTGGCTAAAGACAGCAGCTGGTTAGTTATCACACAGAAAACAGCTAGTTTGGATCTGTCCAAAAGTAACAAAACAAAAGTCCACCCACCACCACCTCTAATACTCACTCAATAAAATGTCACATCTTGTTCGTTAATCTGCAAAAACGACAAAGTTTTAAAGAGTTTTATGGTTGGTTATATATGGGACTATTTCTTGCCTTATAATCTCCCTGTAAAATGTCAAAAAAGTTAATTTTACACTTTGGTTTTGCCCAGATTAAACAGAGGACATTTAATAGTTAATTAGTGAGCTTTTGAGTATGTGGATATCATTACATTTAGACAGACAGGCTAGCTGTACCCAATTTCTAGTCTTTATGCTAACTGACTGCGGCTTCATATTTACCAAACAGACATGAGTGTGGCATCAATCTGATCCAACTCTCGGCAATGCTCACATTCTGTATTACCTCTGGAAGTGTTACTGGTGGTGCTGGTTACTCAGTATTATCATTCCTCCTTTTCATACTGGCTGTGAAGAGATCCCTTCCTGTTCTTTGCAAAAACTTATTACAAAGTGGGTATCTTCCGATATTAAGTATTATTAGTACAAAATTTCACTTTCCACAGACACTTCCAGCATGGAATCCCTCCACTAACTCAGATGTGTCCTGGTAGTCACATAGCGGGCACAAAAACAGTAATTAATCTATGCCTGATGACCAGAACAAACACAGCCACTTGATTTGTGTAACTCACATGGCTGAACTGAAATGAAGACTGTAGATTTAGTCCCGTTTCTTACAGCTGACTGAGTCGGGCTAGAAAAAGATCTTTTCACAGCCAGTACAAACAGGTGGAATAACACATTCAACATACATGAAGGCATGTGAGTATTTAGCAAGACTTGGATAGAAATCTATCTGAAGCTATCCTTTTGGAGTGTTTCTCCACTCATAAAACCCCACAAACTCTGCTCTCTTCTCTTCTTTCCTTGATAGCATCCACCACTGTGATCACACTGCAAGCAATGTTGTCAACAAGTACATTAGTTTCTTGTGTCGCTGACGAGTGAATCTTGCTGGTGTGTGCCTGGACAAAACATACTGTTGAAAAAGCTGTTGGCTAATCAGATTTCTTTACTGCCTTACTTCCCCTATTAATTTGAGTTTGTAACATCAAACCCAAATCTGTGGCAAGCCTGCCATCTAGTGGTGAAAAGCATGCACCCAACATGACAACTTTGTTAAGAACAGGGTTTATCAGTTTCTTTTTAACAAAAGCTACTTAGTCAGCAAAGTGTCAAAGAATTAAATTAAATTAAAGTAACCAATACCAAAGCAGTGAAACCATGATTGATTGATCTGCCTTCTGTGTGTACCTCTTTAGAGGTGCAACCAAAGCCTTAAGTTGGGCCCCTCATACAGACACAACAGTGTGACTGAGTTACTTGCAGTGTGAACACATGGAAAGATGCCTTTGCTTGCCTCCATTAGTTTCCCCAAGCCTGGGTGGATCTAGCTAAAGCACAGGATAGTTTGGTTTACATCTCGATGGGTTAATCAGAAGAGCCTGCAACCCGAAGAACAGCAGGGTCTCCAAATAAAGAACCTACACACTGTAAGTAAGTGTTAGTTCCAGGACGACAATGAGAAAATACCATAACAAAGGGTACAAAGGTAGATGTCAATGAAAGTGACATTTCTCTAACGGCTTCTTATCTGGTAAACAGATTTACTGTCAATTCAACAGCACTATTTAAACTGAAAGCTAAGCAGAACTTTTTGTACAATACACAGGAATCACTGTATTCAGACTCGAGAGCTTCTGATGTTTGATGTGGCCTGGTTATAGAGGTGGCTGAGGTTCAGTTTGAAAGAGCTGTGGCGTGGCTTTACCATGGGCAGAGGAGACAAGACCTGCAAAGCCTCGACATTTTCTCCAACTACCTTCTGTTTGTTAAAGGTCTGTCATAGCTTCCTGCCCTCTTGAATCCAAAGAAGACAGTGGTACTTTAAAGAAGGACCATCATCTTTCAATGCTCCAGCCTCCAGCTAACACAGGCTAATCACCCCGACTTTCACAGTAGAAGGTCCATTCATCTGGCCCAAACCTGTCTCAACTTTGAAGCCAAACTGAGCTCCAGGCCTTTTCCTTGGTGATCCCAATCAGACAGTCTTTCCTTTGGTAAGGAGTATAAAACTGACTGGCTTTGTTTGGGCTTGTAGGTCAAAGCAGAACTACCACCTTAGAATGCTGCAATATCTGCATATATGTTTTCAAAGATTTGAGCCATAAAACTAATCTTTTATATCCACAATCAACAATGGCTGGTTAATCTCAAAATCTATCAGGCATTTTGGGAGCCGACAAGTTTTAGAATCAAACAGGACACCAAAATCGTAGCTGGTTAGCTACGAAAGTAGCACAAATACAATGCTCTGGGCCAGATTCGCCAGCATTTGTCTAGCAGATGGTGTTCACTTTTCATTTTAAAGAGAGCACTACCAATTCTTCCCTCTCGGAAACATCCATTCAACAGAAGCTTGATTCCAACCCTAAACCCTGGACTCACTAAACTTTGACGTAGGTGTGGCATTCTCTTCAGTGACGTTGTTCCTCCACTGCAAACAAAACAAAAAAAGGTCCCTTTGTCTGTAGTTCTTGGACTGGCTCTGAGTCCAGTACTGTTCAGGGAGTCAGGGCTGGGAGCTGCCCTGGCTGTCAGGGTCTGTCCCAGAGGAGCTGGTGTCTGAGTCTGAATCGTCATCGTTGTGGTCGTCCTCTGCCAAGTTTTTCTCACGTATTCGCCTGTGGGTGGCGCTGAGGCGAGCCAGCAGGCCCTGGTAGTCGAAGCGACCACGTTTCTCGCCAAATGGGTCCTGGGTAGAGTGACAGATAAATATACAGAAGAGAGTCAAGTTTGGGCATGTTTAGTATGTCATTCAGAAATAAAGTTTGTCATGGTGTGTGTGTGTGTACTGTCCTGATGAGTTCACTACAGTAGGGGTGTAACATATGCCTACCATCTGTATCTTTTTATATCAGGAAAAGATTTATAATTTTTTTCTGTGTTGAAGGGCAACTTCTGTATTTTTCAACCTCCAATGTTTTTGTGTCTAATTGATTAAACTAAAACCACCAGACTCTATTTAAAGGCTTCTGTGTTTTCATTTTTACCAGTATTAATTGTTTTTTATTGCCAACCGGTGAACAGGTTGTTAACATGACATAAAAACAGACTCTCAGTGGTTTTCTCGGTTGCCTCTAGCTGCCTGTGGGCTGACTTCTATGTAAAAGGACTCTGACCAAACTTTCCAGGAAAATCCAAAGGATGTGATGCTATGCATGTTCTCAAGTGCCTTGCCTCTCTTCAGCTGCACAACAGTGCTACCAGTGTGTATCACTAGCGAAAGCTAAGAAATGGAGTCTGCTATCTACAACAAATGACTGACATCCACCATAACACAGAGTCCACACAGTGCACTGTACCAACTTAAATTCAGCCAGAGAAAGACCAAGCACCTGAACAGGATTCTGATCCTGGACCGGCCTCAAGACCACCTTGTGGATCAGCATGCATTATTGTTGCCATTACAAGGATTAGACCCCTTGCTTTCACTGGCCACCAGCCTACTGGGAATCCCAGGGCTGGGGTTTGTGCTGGCTGAATCAGGTTGCTACAACGGTTAAGGTCCGAGCTGCTGTCCGTTCTCCTCCTGAGGAAGTAGTGTCCTTTTGGTGGGGAGTGAGGTGGAGGGTCCGCGGGCTGTGCTAGCTTGCTAATTCTGATCTCATTTTTGGTCCGATAAAAAGTAAAACCATAAAATTCAGTGTGTATCATAATTTCAGTGCCCCTTGGTTCAGAATAGATATCCTACTGTTAAAGAAATCACTGACGTGAAATATATTATGATATTGTGGTTTTAGCAAGCTAATGTTAGCTTGCCTGCTAACACAGATGAAAGGTCATTTCATTCATCCAGACTCCAGTGCTGATCTGGCTGGTAAATTGGCTATGCAAATTACTTTATCAGCTAATGTTATAAAGCAACCAACGCCAGAATAATGCAGCATAGCTTAGTCACAACTAGCTGGCTACATGGCTTGCTTGCTCACTAACATTATTGCTAGCAAAACACTTTTAAAATGAGACAGTGAGAATGATAGTTGGCTACCTTGCCAAATGACTTTCCCAGCTAACGTGATACTAACTGATGTGTTATGACAAACGACATTGATTTAGCCCACAATACAAGATGCAACAGTACAAAGCATCTTCTTCTAGCCAAGGGTGATGCAGAAGCGGACAATCAGCTTACTGTCATCTGAGGTAATGTTAGCCAGCTAGTTGTAACTTAGCTAATTACACTACGTGGATCTGTGGTTGGTTGCTTCATTACAAGAGTTTATTAAGTAAAACAGTAAGGTACTTTGTATCGGAACCAATGATCCATTGGTAGATAGTAACGTAACGTTATTCTGAACATGACTCAATTTTTTTCCAGCATTCTATCAACATGATGCTGTTCAGTCACAGCCAGTTTCATGTTTGTCACTGCTTTGGCTGATGCCCGGATGCTTGCTCTAGGCTATGGATTGGGACCACAGGAGCGCGGGCAACAGGATGCTGACTGCAGTTCACTTAACAGCCTCAGAGAGAGGTATCTCGAATAAGACAGAAAATGAAAATTACATGCAGACCCTGTAAATAATCAGTAATTTTATCATTATGAAACACACTTCATTTAAAGTCGACAGAAACAAAGTTTTACCCAGTTGATGGTGATTTTGAGGCAGTTTCTGGTTAAAAAGGGTTGTACTCTTTGAGGTTGACCTCTGTAGAGATACATTCCATGTCAGACACTTAGAATACCAATCTAAGCCTGTCAGTGGCAAAGAATAAGCACTTTTAGAGGACATAAATTGTGTTGATGTCCATATAAAGCTTAATGAAGCATTAGTTGTATGTGATGGCCGCACTAGATGGCACTCTTGGTTTAATGAAAAGGGCTCAAGGAACAGCAATTCAGTGTGCTTTTAACCCCTTGTTGAACAGAGAGTCCTATTCTGTGGGTTCAGAAAATAAAGAAAATGGTTTACAAAACTTCATTTAGGCATCACAAGTAAACTGATGGTGCAAAACAACCCTAAGTGGTTACACTGCAGCCTGTTTCACTGCTGTCTGCTCTGTATCAAACAAGTGGCCCTTCATATTACGTTACCCCTTAGGCAGCTCCCAGTCTCCGAGAGGTTGGTGAGCCTTGCTCTTGTGGTTGATACAAGTTAACCATGGTGCTACTGTACATTCAACATTGGGTTTTATTTTTTGTTTCCTGATATGTTAGAATATGCAAGTCTTTTGTAATAAGGAGGGAGCATTTTTAAAATCCAACATTTCAGTGCTGTAATTTTTTTAAGACAATTATGGATCCAACGCTTCTGAACTGTATTGGCTCAGAATGGATCACGATTGTCAAAGGGTGTGCCCAAACTTGATTGCTTTGACTCCTACTGTTAGTATAAAACAGACACCGTGGCAGACAACAATGAATGCCAACGTTGATGACTTAAACTCTAACATATATGCATTATTTCCATCTCTATGGTATGTATATTGGTAAATCTTTGCATTATAAATATTAATTTCCCAGGACTTCTTTACATTGTCATCAAACATATAGTGACATTAATCTACTCATAGAAAGTTAAAAATGTAGATGTATATGGATCAAAATTAATGAGAAATATAATCACCTGCATGTTCTGTCCCTGTAGATGCAGTCTCTCTTTGCAGACACCCTCGTAGAAATCGTAATATTCTAGGAAGGACTTTTCCATCACGCTCCTAAAGACACAAATGCATACACCAATAAGTTGATAGAAGAGAGGTGAGGAAAGTGGATTAAAGGGATCGTTCTGATTTTCTGAAGTGGGGTTGTATGGTGTACTATTGATAGTCAGTGTGTTACATACAGTAGATGTCAGTCAGCACGCCCCCAGTTTGGAGAGGCAGGCTGGAGTCCTGCATGGAAGCTAAGCAAAGTCCTGTTGTGGATGGGGGTCAGCAACAAAACATATTTTAGTCTCCTAAAAAAGTCCCACTTAAAATAATCAATAACAGTTTACATGTATGCTATATTGAGAGTATTTTCACTGCTTTATCTTTCCGTCAGACAGCCCATTTAAGGGGGTAGCTGTTAACGGCTTCAGTTCCCCATCTATGCTCCAGTTAAAGCCACCATACTGCATTGAGAAAAGCAGTAATTTAAGCTCGCTGAACAGAGGAGCTGCTGGTCTGCCACTGCTTTGATCAGTCAGTTAGTTAGTGTTTTGCGTGACTTTGGTGAATCTGAACTAACCCTTTTAAACGCATAAGTTACACAATTACACATACAAACAAACAAACTGATTGAAACAGCGGCAGACCAGCAGCTGCTGTGCTCAGAGATGTTAAATCACAGTTTTTCTCAGAGGAGTCTGGCTTTGAAGAGAGCGCTATAACAGCTTCATTTTCCCCATTCGAAATCACTGTCTGACATTAAGGTAAGACAGTGAAATTACTCTCAATATGGCATACACTTGAGCTGATATTGATTATTTTGGATGGGACTTTTTTTAGGTGGCTAAAATACATTTTGTTGTCGACCCCTCTGTAGCATCAGATTGCTTAGCTTCCATGTCAGTCTCCAGCCTGCTTCTTCAAACTGGGGGGACGTGCTGACTGACATCTACTTTTTGTTTTATTCTGTCTATGGATAAGTACCCCATACAACTCCACTTCAAAAATTTTAACTGTCCCTTTAAGGAAATGAAAAGGGCAGGTTAGAAGCACAGAGAGAATAGATGTTGGTAGATGGAAAAGAATAAGAAGGAAAGTGAAGATTAGTTGGACAGTGATGTTGGTCTCACCATAGTGCTTCAGGACAGGGGACTTTGCCCTCCAGCATGTCACACACAGCCACTCTCATGGTTTCATGTCGAATACACTCGTTGTAGTTCTTACTGTCTCCTGGGTGGCGCTCCTGAAAGACACACAGACAGATCGTAACCTTACAGATATTTAAATACAGTGCATTTAAGACAAACAGAAGATAACTTGCAATCTGTACTAAGACTGTGAACTAGCTGCGAAATTGCTGGTATCAGCCTGCACATACAGTGGTTACGGTAACATCATTACCATTTTCGGAAAGTTTTCTCCCCCTTTTCATAGGTAAGCAACTAAATTGCCAATCTCTAAAAACTTCCCTAAAGGGATAGTTCAACCCCCCCCCTTCCAAAAATACATATTTTTCCTCTTACCTATAGTGCTCTTTTGTAAATCCAGATATTTTTTTTAGGTCAGTTGCTGAGTGTTGGAGATATCAGCCGTAGAGATGTCTGCATTCTCTTCAACATAATGGCAGCTTTTGGTGCTCAAAGTGCCAAAAAAATACATTTGAAAAACTCAACAGCATGTCTCTTTCCAGAACTAATGTCCAGGTAACTCAAGATAATCCACAGACCTTGTTGAGAGCAGTTTGAGAGCAGAACTATTTTCTTTCTACCGAACTACACCCGCAAACTGTATCGTTGTGCAGAGGGAAGCGTGCATCTACTGCTAGCTCACCTAGCACCACTGACCTAGCTAATGTTACAGGTCAGCCGAGGAGGACGCCATTAATGTTTACATTTTGTGTTGTCACGAGCATGGGCCCCTTGTTCATGTGTAGATGCACGCTTCATTCTGCATGGTGATACAAGGTGGGGTTTACCAACACACACACACACACACACACACACACACACTACCTGTTCAAAGCCAGGTTCATTGTGATAGGGGTTCTCCGTCATCAGAGACTGGATGGAGATGAGGACAGATGAGATACTCTGGGCTGGGCTCCATGCTGGGCCTGTCCATGTCCTATACACACACACACACACACACACACACACACACACACACACACACACACAGCTTATAGCACCATCCATATAGTAGTTTACAGTGTTTTTACTCTGCTCTTGAGACAGAAACACAGTAAACACATGTGTGTATGACCAACCATCCTTAATGGATTTCTGTGGAGACAAATGAAACCATGACAGTAATAAACCTCTACTCACCCCAGGATACTGAGGCAGACCTTGCCGTTGCGGTAAAAGTTGGGGTTGAAGCGAACAGTGTTGTGTCCAGTGGTGATGAGCTTGACTCGGGGTGGGTGAATGGGGTAGTCGGGGGGGCAGCGGAACAGGAAGAGGAAGAAGCCACCCTCGTACGGTGTGTCGAACGGCCCTGTGATCAGGGCATGGATCTGCAGGAAATGAAAAAGTGTGGGAAAAGGAGATGGTTAAGAGAGATCACGAGAGGTGTACAAAGGGAGAGAGGGGTGCTGTGGATGAACAAATCAGAGAGCAGAAAATCTGACCCAGAAAACAACTGACAATGTCTACATCAGACCCGCTTTGAGGAAGATATGTACAAATGATGGAACATTGTGTATCAGTGATTCCATGACCTAGAAACTTCACTCCTTTCTCCCTGTGTGTTAATGGTGGTTTCCAGTCTGGTTTCAACTCAAGTTGAACTGGAAACCCCGTGTCATAGTGTGATACATGCTGGAAAACACTCCTGTCCAACATGCACACAATATTACAACATGAAAACAAATATTTAGTTAAAATTGTGGGTACAACCTGCATTTTGCATGACTGAAATAAATCACAATCTTATTTTTGGGGGCTCTACCACCCAACCCTAATCCATTTTGTAATAAACCAGAATCATCCTTTAGTTAATCGCTAGATATGGCAATCCCTTTAACACTGTAACTATAACATTTGGAAAAGCAACACCATCAGATCAGTATATACACCATTTTGTTGTGGCTGGCTTTGCAGATGTGGTGCGTATCCTATGGCCCCAACTACTTACAGAATAAAATGAAGCATTGATCAAAGTGGTCAAAGAAACCATTTACTTTGTCATGCCATGCATCTTAGCCCAGACAGGACAGCTATCAGATATCAAAACAATCTAAGTGTATATGCATGTAAGTGTATTTAAGCAAGTGTACATGCGTAAGTGACCACAGTATCTATGTCCTGTGATCACAGCAGCTTAACTTGCACTAAAAAAAAAAAAAAAAAGCGGTTGTTCTCCTTGTCTCACTTAACTGGCAGAAAGCAGCTTCAGCAATTTTAAAACATAGAGTCATACAGAAGGTGAACCAAGCTGTTGTAGTGTTTATCTGATCCCTGATTAGGCTTGTCACGGTCGTCTGTGTTACATGGTGTTTGTGCATACACCGATTACATTACATACCCACGGCCGCCCCCATTTAGTTCATTTCTGCATATCAGTGTCCATGCTCATCAAAGAAGAATTAACTAATCGTTAAGATACTGACCATGACATCAACATCTAATATGTTGACAGATGCTACAATTGTAAACTGAAAGTGTCTGCTCCGTACAGCAGCAGATATGCAGCACAGAGCTTTGTTAGAAGTGAGCCAGGACCTTATGCACAAGGCGTGCTACCAGAGTGACTATGACCTGAATGTTGGAGGAAGAACAGTCATCCTTGGGTAGAGAGTGAGCCTTATGAAAGACGGGGAAGATGAAGAGGTGGAGGGAGCCACCGCCAAGCCGCAGCCCAAGAAAAAATGAAAAACTTAAGACATTTAATTAAAAGGAAAAGCAGACGCCACCACAGTCACATCAACTGTTCCTGTTGTGTTTTGTTCAAAGTGAGCGTACGACCTAAAGATCCAACATTGAAGATCTACAGATAGTGAGCATCATTGACAAATATCTTTCCTTGTAAACTGTCTGATGTGATCAGTAACATTGGTGTTGTCACGAGTGAAGTAACCGATGGGAAAGGTTCCTCACCGAGGCATCCCTATCCCTGATCAGGCCAACCGCTGAATAATACGTATGACTACGGGAGCAGTGTGAGTGAGAGCCTGTGAAGGCAACTGTAAATTGTTGTCTCATATGTAGTCCATAAATGCAATTTATCCATGTGTTTGTGTTAGTTCATGGCTGCCTGTTGTTGTATGTAGCTGTAACCAAACAGCTTCAGGTGTATAATCACCATTTGGACTGGAATAGAACAGACTCTGACTTACATGTAGGGAAAACCAAGCTGCATTACAATATGTTAAAGGATCTGGAGACGCATATATATATATATGGCTAAGTGTATTAAATGTCATCTAGATTTTATATGGATATGATGAGTAAATGGGGTCACAGCTTTGTCACAGGGGTCCTATCGTTTACCTTCGTCATGTCTTGAGGATCAGGGACAACAAACATCCCTGGTGGAGGCTCCTTGTATATGGACATGATATCCCTACAGAGACAGACAGAGACAAGGAGGGAGTCAGATGAGGTTCCTGGGAGGACAAAGTTATGGTAGAGATGGACAGAATCTTATACAGATGTATTACAGAGATATCTGACCCAGGCCTGGCTACAACCAAGCTGTTGACAATTTTCATGGGGATCATTGCTTTGGTAGAAAGTTCACTGTCCACAGTGAACTCTGAGGATTAACTATAACACTTGTGACACTGCAAAACATACTGTCCAGTTTCCTGTTGTCGTTTTTTTATGCTTCAGGCACAGATGAAATTCCAGCAGGTAAACCCAATATTCAAACTGACAATTTAATAGCGTTTAAATTAAACAGGAAGCAACATGGCAACTGTTTTACAGGACGTGATGGCTTAACTAAACCTAACTGACGATTATGTCATCTTTCAGGTTCAACATGTCTGTGTGTTGTTGTCTTACAGTAAATGCAGACGTTTCCTGAAACTCCCCGTCATTTGTTGAGACTCCAAAGGTTTCCAGTAAAGGCAGAACTTTCCGAAAAAAAAACTTTCACTTTCGATTTTTACTTACCTCGTTGAGATTTTGGGTCTGAGAACAAATGTTTTCATTACCTCTTTATCCTCAAGATGCACTGCTGGGAAGCCTTCTCGTTGTCCCAGTCCGTACTGAGAGTTGGGTCCCAAGAAGTAGCGTGGATTTGAGACAGAAGGCCCGCTCCTGCCACCCCGCCGACCCCGAGCCCAACGGGGAGAGGCGAGGAGGCGTGTACGGTCGGAGACACGGCCACTACTGGTGGCGAGGAGCCGGGGGTGAATGTGTTCCCAAAACCGGCCGGGGTAGCAGTGACAGCGGTCATAGGGGCCACCAGAGCGGTTAGGCCAATCTGCGCGGCCGCGGCGGGAGGAGGGGAGGCCGGGTTAGAGCTGGACTGAGCACCGCTGGCTGTTGAGTGTCCCACCGGCAGAGAGTTAGCCAAAGTCGGCAGCAGCGAAGCCCCGCTGCCCTGTCCGGTAACGCCTAAGCCAAGGGCACCGCCGCTGGACTGCTCTCCAAAGCTGTCCGCCATGGCTCACGAGCTAACAAGCTAGAGTAAAACCGTCGGTGTGGGCTAATTTATAATGCTAACTGTTAGCCGCATTGACAGCTGAGGGCTACGTTAACCACCTCTGCTTGTTTTGTTGTCCGGTAGGATCAGAGAGCAGGCGAACGGGGCAGAGGCGAGCTCAGAGGCGAGGCCAGAAAACAAGGCATTTCTTCCCACGACATGGTGGATACTTATCGTTAGCTTAACGTTGTGTTTCCCCCAGGCCTCCAGAAAAGTATGAAGTCGTCAGCAAAATCAACTCGTCCACTTTGCTGAGGCTTATGTAGCAGCTCGCTGTCCGTTTGGTATCGTTTTAAAGGAATAAGTTATCAGAATATTTGGGTTATGAACGCACCACATCCGTACCACTCTTATTAGCGAGACGCAACTTCAGGATCTGATTTCTCTCACCAGTTTACTTCTACTGACACTGGACATCCGGTGGGAACTTCAAAGTAAAATTCCTTTACGACTTTACGTGTTTTATTAAGTTCAACTAAAGTGTCACGGTGAAAACTATGTGTTTAATTATTAAATCAAAATATTTATGGAAAAATCTGTGATGAATATAAATCAAATGATATTCTTTTTACATCAAAGTCCAAGCCACAGACGTACCGTTGCCTGACGGCATCATTGATATTAAAGGGATAGTTTGTATTTTTTGAAGTCAGGGGTACTTACCCATAGTCATTACATAAAGTAAATGTCAGTCGGTACAACCCAGTTTGGAGAAGCAAGCTGGAGTACCACACAGAAGCTTAGCAGTGTACTGCTGTGGAAGGGTCAGCAACAAAACATATTTTAGCCCAACCTGAAAAAAAAAATCAGTTGACGTTTACCACTCTGGTTAAAGCCACCAGACTCCATAGAGAAAACGGTAATTTAAGCTTGCTGAACACAGGAGCTGATGGTCTACTGAACTAACCATTTTAAACACCAGTCACACAATAACACAAACTAACTTAAGGAGACAGGGCAGACCAGCAGCTTGTGTTCAGAGATGTTAAATCCATTTTTCTTAATAGTCTGACTTTGAAGAGAGCAATATAACATCTTAATTTTCCTGTTGGAAATCACTGACATTAAGGTAAAGCAGAAAAATACTCAGTGTATGAGTGTGTTAACCTGATTTGTTTTAGATGGGTCTTCTTTAGGTAGCTTTTGTTGCTGCCTCCATCCACAGCATCAGGTTGCTTAGCTTCCTTGTTGGTCTCCAGCCTGCTTCTTCAAACTGGGAGTGTGCCGACAGACATCTACTGTATGCATTATATGGTCTATGGATAGGTACCCCATACAAGCCCACTCCAAAACATCTGGACTTTCCCTTTAATGCCCATTATTACAGTGAATTTAACAGGTTTTACAAAACACTCCACAGAACAGTCGCACCATCATTGATTCCATGCTTGAGTTAGTCACTGCACTGCATGGTTAAATCTGTTAATGACAGGTACCAAAAGAACCTGTTTTTTTGGTTAGGTTTTTTTTTTTTAATTACTTTTTATGGAGGCTCTGCAGGGTCAGAACCCAGCGCTCAGCACCAAAATGTATCTTGTGATGTGGCATCCAAACTTCTTCAAAAATCACTTAAGATCTACAAAATATCAAGTCCTATATTGTGACTAATTGACGAAAACAGAATATGGTATAGTCACAATACTGTTAATCTTATTTGATTTTACATTAATCATTAAAGCCCAAATTAAATGCCAGTCATCCTTTCATTACTCTACAAATGTCTTAATAGCATACTAGAGAGGAAACCAGAGGCTGCTGATGAGTGGGGTCATTGAAAGCCTGTTAAAAATGACCACATGAAAGACAAAATACAAGCACTCGTGATACCTTCCATTTTGTGAGTAAACAGTACATGTAATTTAACAGGACATTTTGGCTCTCTACAGCTGGCAACTCATTTTAAAAGCTGCCATAATTACCACAGTTGATCGTCATACATCTGTTAATATTTTATAGGAAGTCAAAGGGGAACCTTGGTACTAAACACTCTGATGCCACTTTGTCTCATTTATAAAAAGGGCAAAGCATAGGAATGACATTTGGAACAATTACCCATTGTGTTTCTCAGCACACATGCAATAGTTTATTCTCTTAGCAAATAAAAAAAAGATTAAAACACTGCAGACTGTTTTTAGTTATCCCAACCATTTATTTTGGACAGATTATTTCAACCGAAGTGAGGTCTTACATAAAACTTCTGAAAAACAAAAATAAGCGTAGGAACATAAAAATGTAGGATTGGAGGTTTGTTAACCTCAGATGTAAATATTTTTCCATGTATATTTTTCTGATTGGAATGGCCTATCAGCTCATTCAGAGTTCCCATTCTGGAAACCCCCCTCCGGATGTAAGGGAGGGAGGGAGGGAGAAGGGAGCAAGGAAGGAAATGAGACAGGGTAGAGGGGGTAAGTGAAAGGAGCGGAGCTGTGAGGTGTGTTTTCTGGTTTACATGGCGAAGAGGATGAGGAACGCCACCATCAGACAGAAAAGACCCATAGCCTCAGACAGAGCAAATCCCAGGATGGCGTAGGAGAAGAGCTGCTGCTTCAGTGAGGGGTTCCTGTAGATGAGAACACAGAGGAGCACAGTCAGAAATGTTTAATTAAATGTCAATTTCACTGCAACCAAACAAAAGACAGGCAATTTCAAAACAATCTTGCAGGGTGGACACAAAGCTTCCGTTCTTCCACAAATCATGTGTTCAGAATTTTGCCATCCAAATATTGTGAGAGTGAGAGGTCTGTGTGCAAACATTGAGAGGTCTGTGTGCAAACATTGAGAGCCCGAGTGAAATCACTGCATTTCCAGGACCTAATGAGCTAAAACAACAAGATGAGTAGCTGTTTTTCATGTCTTCTGCTTAAACAAATACCACACAATTAATAACAAGCCATTAACATGAATGTATCGAGGCAAGATGGGAGGGTGAACTATAACATGCAGAGAAAATGCCATGTATTGCACCTGTTTAACTGTAGCTGCCCATTAATGGTGGCTACATTAGTGTTTGTCTTCTCTCCATTTGGGTTTGCTCAGGTCTACTACATTTTGGATTGGGACCAGTTCTGACTGCCCTTGGGTCCCTTTTGGGCCACATCTTTTGATTATTTAAACCATGTGGGTTTTCCATGAGTAGGCTTTTGGATCAGGTCCAAAAAGACCTTTATACTGACTGAAATAAACATTTTCGCTTGTGAACAAAGTGGCCTGAAGCTCCCCCAAAATGCATTCACTTTAAAATATTTTGTTAAGTGATAAAGGAATTGTCTAGCATTTTGGGAAACGTGCATAGTTGCCTTCTTGTTGCAAATGTGATAAGCTTAATCTGCACAGTAAATATGTAACTACAGCCAGCAGCCTCTTTATTAAGCTCAACATAAACACCAGGAACAGCTAGCCTTGTCAAGAAAATCCAGCTCGAGACTTAGCTTGGGTGATATCACAGTATTACGATATACCAGGGCATTTAGAAATCCCAATGGTATGATGTTAAATAAAGTCAAAAACACATCTAACTTGGTGAATTAAGGGTTTATTTTGACCAAACCAGATTTTGTGATTGTAGTATGTGGACTACAACTGACATAACTAGCCAAGAAGTTTTTGAGATTTATTTTGTTTCTGTAGAGTTTGAAATAAGTTTGTTTTACGATTAGTTAATAAGGCAATTAAGCTAGCCATAGTTCTGTAAGAGAAAAGATTGAATTCAGAAAGTGTACAGTCACAATTCTCTGCTTAATAAGGAACATGGGTATAAGAATATTACCTTTCTTGACATTTTTAGTTTATTCTATTTAGACTAAAAATGCCAAGAGAGCTTGTGGAACATAAGTGGCTGGTTGGCAGGGTGGGATGGAGTTGGGGTTGGTTAGCACCACACACAAACACTATCATATACCGTATATCCTGGTGTAATTCCAAAAGTGTATGACAGGTATGAAAAAAGAGATACCTCTCGAGCCTACCCAAGACTCCAAGAAGTTACCAGTCCTGACCAAGAAAGATTCTGACACATAACCCTCACCATCAAACAGAAGCGTTGTTTTGTTTACGTTTAGATTATTACAAATAAGATAGACCATGTTATGCTGCATTCACATGGAATCAGGCAGACAGCAGCAGAAAACACCTTCTGGATGGCACAGGAAAAACAAACAAATAATCCGATCGAATAGCAGGACCATAAAATGAAACATACATGACGAGATGTTGTGATGGTGGTACGATGTTTAAAAAAAACAAACAAAAAAAACACAAATTGACATTAATAAAAGTGACATTACCAGAAGTTGTCTTTGTCATGACAAGTTGACATTAAATTTGTTTGGGATGTCCTTATAATGACAAGTTGACATTAACATAAAGACATCTTCTGGTAATGTCATCCTGGTTAATGTCAAGTTGTCACTATAAGGACATCCCAAACAAATTCAGTGTCAACTTGTCAACTTCTGGTAATGTCATCCTGGTTAATGTCAACTTGTCATTACAAACTGAATGACGCTCTTTTTGGTATGAGTTCTTCTGGGTCATCATGTACAGTTGCTTCGCTTTCAGGACTCTCTCCAGCAGCCATTCTCGCCTCTAAACTTTTCTATATGCTCTCACTCTCACCCGCTCAAGTGTGCCTGTGGTGTGCAGTGGTGAAATGGGTCCCCGCCGCGCACGTTCCGGACGTTGTCTGGGCTATTCACCGGTATTGCGGTATGTGAAAAATTCATATCATAACGAAAATAAATACCGGTTTTCCGCCCAGCCCTATGATGTCCAATTCCGAAGCTTGGAAAAAAAGATATTACCGTAAGGCTACGTGGAGCAGTGAACGCTGTAGATTCTGATGTCTCAGTATAGCTGAAGAGTAAATTTACATTGTGTAAACATGATAAAGCCCTGTTAGCAGGTTACAGCCAGCACTACTTGTTCACATCCACCATTGCACAAAATGTTGCCTCATTTGTGATGCCTCACCGAAGGAGATAACAGTGCACACTGTGACGTCTCAAGCCAGAAACTGTTTTCCCTGGCCACGCGTCAAGAAATACATTAAATTTCTGAAAATCTTCACCCATAAAAAGACAGTTTTGTAGTTTTTAGTGACCTAAAAATGCACTGTGTGTGGGAACAAACGACCAAAATACACTGAAAAAGCTACGTTTAAAATACACCAGTGTATGGATGACAAGGCCTTACAATGCCCCTTTATCTGTAAGTCACATCCCAGGCCATTCAAGCCACACCAGCTGACTAGTTTAGTTTCCTGCTAGAACACTTCACACAGAATGTTCTTCTAATCTATGTATACAAATGTTTAGTTATTGTTACAGCAAAAAACTGAAGTCACAGGGTGTTGTGACAGCAACAACAGCTACTCTACCTGGGGTCAATGTATTGT